CGGGATCGACCGCGCACGTGGGGCGGCGGTGGCGGCGTCGGCGGCGGGGTCGCTTCTTGCCGCCTGCGCCTTCGCCTGGGTCCCCTGCGCCGCCACCGCCGCCCCACGTGCGCGGTCGATCCCGAAGCGCACGTCCCGTGCTTCCTCAAAATTTTTTGTAACTTTCCCCCTGGTCTTTCTCCCTACCCCTACTTTTTGCATAAGGGAAAAAAGTTGTGTCGAAAGTGTCCACCGATTGCCACCTCCCAATTATCCTTCCTTCCCTCCCTGCCCCATTTTTAAATTTTTAAATTGGTGGCAGCATTATTTAGTGTTTATTTTGTTTTACGATCGATAGCTTCCTTCGCTTGGTCGCGGCGGCTGCTGAACAGTGAAGTGGCGTGGACCTCATGTAGAAATGACAACAATGGAAGGGGCCAGCGGGTCGAGTTTTGGAATAGACACGATTTTGTCCAGTGCCAGTTCGGGCAGCCCTGGCATGATGAATGGAGATTTCCGCCCTCTGGGTGAGGCCAGGACCGCGGATTTTAGGAGTCAGGCCACCCCATCCCCTTGTTCGGAGATTGATACCGTAGGAACGGCGCCTTCTTCTCCTATCTCGGTCACCATGGAGCCCCCGGAGCCGCATCTGATAGCAGACGGGCCCCAGCATCACCAGCACCTCCACCACAGCCAACAGCCGCCGCCGCCGCCAGCCGCAGCCCCGACGCAAAGTTTGCAGCCTTCGCCCCAACAGCAGCCGCCGCCACCGCAGCAGCAGCCTCCCGCCCAGCAGCTGGGGTCGGCCGCCTCGGCCCCCAGGACTTCCACCTCTTCTTTTTTAATTAAGGACATCTTGGGCGACAGCAAACCTCTGGCGGCGTGTGCACCCTATAGCACTAGCGTCTCCTCTCCCCACCACACCCCGAAGCAGGAGAGCAACGCAGCGCACGAAAGCTTCAGGCCAAAGCTGGAGCAGGAGGACAGCAAAACCAAACTCGACAAGCGGGAAGATTCCCAGAGCGACATCAAATGCCACGGTGAGTCGTGCCGCCCGGGCTCCCTCAGCCGTCTAGCTGCTCCTCCTGGTTCCCCTTCCTCCCTTCAGCCTCCCCCCAATCTCTGATGGTTGTTCCGGGAGCTTCTCAGGCGGGTGGGCGACGGTCAAAAGACTGCAAGCAGGAGGGAGGCCTGGGCATGCGATTCCGGGGCTCGTCCGAAGTTCTGTTTATTGTTACATTTCTACCCCTCGTCTGTCACCGTTATCCAGCTCCTTTCCTTGTTTTACTTAATTTTCATTTATTGGGATAGGGTGGAGGCGGCGACAGCGGAGGGGATCTGAAGGGAAATACTTTTCGTTGATAAAAGGGACGGACTTGAGGTATTTCTAGCTAAGACCTTGGGAATAGGAATGGGAATGGGGGAAGATGGGAGAGAGAAACCGCTTAGCTAGTGTGGTGTCTAGCGGTGTGATCACAACCTGGTATTTAGTCTTTAATATTTCATCCCCCACTTTTTATAAACACCATCACAAGAATCATTGGATTTAATGAAGGAAAAATTTTCTAGTTGATTAACAGAGCAGCTTAGAAAAAATTAAATCGTGATTAATATACGGAAGTCAGTACAGATTTATAACCAGTTTTTAAAAGCATGCTTTTTGCCCCATTGTGCCAACTAAATATCTATATCTTAGTGGGATTTTTGGCTCTTTACAAGTAATTGGGAGGTAGCATTTATAGAAATAAAATCTTATGGAATTGAATTTATCTATTTTTGTAAAATCAGAAGATGACAATTGAAATTGTCCTTCAATTCCTTTTTTTCCATCTTTCTCTTCAGACAATTTCACAAGTGTTCAGATTTTTGCCTGGCAAAATAGTTTTAACATACCAGGAGAGTTATTTTTTCTCTCTACTGATAAATAGTTTATTATTATTACTAATCCTTGCTTCTCTGGCAAAGATATGTGCTGTCTGTCTGGAAGGTAGGATATTGGCTCCTCATTTTACTATTATAGCATTAGCATAATAGTGCCCAAAACAGATGTACAGTCTGGTCTGGCGATTTTTTGTGCACCATCCTCCCCAGTGGGTCAATTAGAGAGATTATTGTTCTTCCTGTAGGGAAGATCAAGGAGCGCTGCACAAACGGGTACAAACAGAGAGGGATTGACATATCGATTTCCCAGCATTTCAGTAAAAAACCAAAGTTGACAAATAGAATCCGGAAATCTCCATGCTGTCACCTGGAAAGGCTCAATGATTTTGAGCTCAGCTCTGTGTATGGGTGACATATTCTTTCTGAAGATTTAAAAGACCAGAGAGCTTGATTCCAACACTTCCCAAGTGCATCTGAAAAAAGAGAAACAAATGAGTATAACTTTCAGTAAACAGAAAAAAGGTAAAATGAAAAAGGTGGCCATCTGCTCAAAAAAACAGAGTAGAAAGACCCTTTGAAAAATACGAGATCAGAAAAATGAAGTTATAGTGAAAAGGGACAGTGTCTTCCCTTAATCAAGGAAACAACAGTAACAAAAGAACATTTTATTGAAAAGGTTTTGTGTGTTTGTTTTTACTTTTTAACTTCCAACGGTGCGAAGATCAGACACCCTACTACATCTCTTTTAGGACCCCCGCACAGGCCTCATACTCCCCAGCCAGCAAACGGTGCTCTTCCTCCGTACTTCCAAAGTATATGTGTGTGAGGGGGTGGCAGAGTGTAGTCCCGAGACCAGTGGCTGACTTGGGAATGTAGAAGTTTGTGCCAGGAGGACATTCCACCCTTCCCCATTTCAGGCTAATTTACATGGCTGTGGCTGGGTTTGAATTGTAGGAACAAAGGAGGAAGGAGACCGGGAGATTACAAGTAGCCGAGAGAGTCCTCCTGTGAGAGCCAAGAAGCCTCGCAAAGCCAGGACAGCTTTCTCTGACCACCAGCTCAATCAACTGGAGCGGAGCTTTGAGCGGCAGAAGTACCTGAGTGTGCAGGATCGCATGGACCTGGCAGCTGCACTCAATCTCACTGACACCCAAGTTAAGACCTGGTACCAGAACCGCAGGTAAGGGATGCTGTTTGGGGGACTAAAAGCATTTGGCTACTTAGGTCATGACTGCTGCGCCAATCTTCTTCCCTCCTTGCTTCTGTAGACTCTAGGGACTGAAAGTCAGAGGGCCTGAAGTAGGTGGCAGAGTGCATTCAAGCTGGGGCAGGGATTAGCCACACCCCCAAGGTGAGAGAGACCGGAGGGCAGCTGGAGTTTGCACAATTTTATACTTCTGGGTGTCTTAACAGGTGCTACTTTCCCTCTGAAACCCTGAGCCACTAGAATTCCCTCCACTTTGTCCCCAAATCAATCAAGCCACACTTTCTTAAATTGAGACATCTGTGCAGCTGACACTCAGGCCCAGAGAGCCTGCATGGTGCACCCCTTGGGCCCACTCCAGGCTGGTTCCAAATGTCTGTAGCCATCAACACAGCCCAGTTATTGTGGTCCCCACAGAGCTGTCCCACCAGCCTCAGCTTAAATGTCCTTGCTTTGGCCTGTGAGGCAGCTGGGAGAGGCAGGGTCTGAGCCTGGGTGGTGTAGCTGTGGAGACTAGGAGAGCCCAGCTGGGTTAGAGTTGAGTTGGCAGCCACAGCCTGGATAATCAGGCAGCTGGCCAAGCATCCAGACTGGGGGTCTGTCCCTTGTACTAGCTAACTCCTCTATCTCAATAAGGAGAAAGGGTGCTGCAGAACCTTCCCAACACCGCTACTTCTCTAGAAGGGAAATTAGGAAAGCAGTTGTCAGTGCTTGCAGAGCAGAATCTGGGCAATCAGAGGCAGACGTTATGTTCTGTTTCCAAGCCTGGTGCTCATCTTCCTTGTCTCGATTTTCTCTCCCCCTCCTTTTCTGTAGTTTGTGTTCTAATCGTCCATGAGTGTGGTTGGAAATGCCCATCCAGTTGTCATCTTTACCATAATTTTCTGTCTCATTACATACGGTTTCAGCCACCCTAATTCTGTCGGAAAACATTAGTGTCATTTGTAGCCAATTTAAAATGGGCGACATGTTTATTAATTTGGCTGGAGCTGCCGGGAATGGACGGCCCACCAGCCCTACGTTCCTTCATAAGGCATTTGAGCAAACGCCTGCTCCTCTCTTTTTCCTAGCGGGGAAGGGAGGAGACCAAGAAAAGCTGATCATAGGTTTCAATTGTTACTTTCTCCCTAAGGAGGAAATATCTCGAAATGCATCTTCCTTCCCCAATGGCTGGAAGGGACTTCCCCTTGGGAGGGACGTCCCTCAAAGGAATTCTCTTTTGAGACGTTGTCACCCTCCTCCCCTTAAGCCGTCTGCCTACCGGCTTTAAGGTCCTGTCAGGCTGATGAGAGAGATGTCTCCACAGCCCCGGGGACCGAGAGCCGGTAGTTCTCTGCTTTCTTTGTTTACGGTTTCTTCCCTCTGGGCCTGGGGCGGGGCGGGGAGGGGCCAAGAGCGGACACTTTGGGATTGTTGGGGGCTACACTGGAGGGGAATTAAGGGAGGAGGAAGAAGACCGCCTATGGAAAGGGTCTCATTTGGCCTCTGGGAAAGTTTCACGAAGTAGCCAAACTATAAAGGCCGACAGCAGAACAGAGGCTCAGGAAAAGGCAGCAAAACTCGTAGGATTTTATTTGTGAGCATCTCAGACGTTGAGGGTGTAATTTACAAAATTGACCTTGGGTTTGGGTCGCTCTGCAAGCAAGATGGGAGCGGGAGATGCAAAGCATTCATGGTTCTCAGAGGTCTCTGTCTTCCTGCCACCCAGGGGAGAAGGAGGAGGTGGGAGAGGGCCAGACAAGTGGCCGGGGCCTTGGTGCGTGCGCCGTGCCCACAGCCGCTGGGTGCATGCGCCCGCTTTCTTTCAGGACCAAGTGGAAGCGGCAGACTGCGGTGGGCCTGGAGCTGCTGGCCGAGGCGGGGAACTATTCGGCGCTGCAGAGGATGTTTCCGTCGCCTTATTTCTATCACCCAAGCCTGCTGGGCAGCATGGACAGCACCACGGCGGCGGCGGCTGCCGCTGCCATGTACAGCAGCATGTACCGGACTCCTCCAGCACCCCATCCCCAACTGCAGCGGCCCCTGGTGCCCCGCGTGCTTATCCATGGCCTGGGGCCTGGAGGACAGCCAGCCCTCAATCCCTTGTCCAACCCCATCCCAGGCACCCCGCATCCCCGGTGAAGAACGCCAAGGTGCTGCAATCCCTCCCCCGTCCCCGCCCCGATCCGACAGCTGTCCCTCCTCTCCCTGCGCCAGGCCACCGGGCAGGCCTCCCTTGCAGCTGACCCTGGGAGGCAGAGGAGGAAGAGAGGAAGTCGCTCACCAACGGGAGGCCCCCCTACCCTCCCAAAGAGGAGCCAGTCCTCTGCTGTCCATCTCCCCATCCCCAGAGACAGGGCTGGAAATTTCCCCTACAGCAGTGTAACTGGCAAAAACGCTGACCCCACACAAAGTGCGACCAGTAGGTGAAAACATGAACAAAAGCAAAACCTCAAGTTCTTTTTAAAAACGACTTTAGGGACAAGCAGGAGGGAGGGAGGGGGAGGGCTAAGGAGGAAAGAAAGAAGGGCACGGAGAGGAAACCGCACAGGCAGAGAGAATTGTAGGTGGACAGACAGCCTCAAGTTCGGAGGCAGAGGGCTTGCCGTGGACATTCCGTCTGCCCCAGAGAAAGGAGGGTAACAGAGAACTTTGCACTGATTTCTCATGACCTTTTTTCTTTTGGAAAAGTGGCATGCTCCATAATATGAAAAAAAAATGTACATTTGAAAGACTGAGTGATAAGTGATATATCATATTTATTATATGTTGTCCAAAAAAGAGTCACTTATATACGTTAGTAAAAACATTTTTCTTTTCATGTCTTTTTGATTGAGTAAAATAAATACTTAGACAAAAATATAGATTTTTTTGTGATTGAAAATTACAAAAATAAAGTTTATCTTTTTTTAACAAGTGATGAGATCCAGGGGAGCTGATTTTACTAAGGCAGTATGTACAGTGATGAAACGCGTGACATAGTTTAGAAAAACAAAATCTTTCCGGAATATTAGGAATTTACAAAATCTGTAAAGACTTGGGTTAGCTTATATAAAAACAGCTCCATTTTTCATGCTGGCCTCTTCCGACCTTTATTTGATATGCGTGAGTTCCTTTTCTTTTTAAGTGGATGGTTTTAGAGCAGCCCCTGAGGCCGCGGAGAAAGTCTGTGCTTGCAGGCTGTTGGTGCGGGCCGGGTGGGCGGCAAACTTCCCCCTGCTAACCCGTCCTACCTGGAGGCCCCAGCTTGACCGGGTGTGGGGATCCCTCTGCCCTCCTCTCCTCTTCTCCCGGGGACTTTCTAGGGCGGCGAGGGTCCGGAGCGCTGGGAAGCAACGCCGGTAGGGGCTGGGCGACGGGCGAACGCTCCTCGGGCCTCGCAGCTGTTCTGCCGCCCGCGGCTGGGCGCCTGCTCAGCCGGACAGCCTGCGAGCGGGAGGCTGCCGGGCGAGCAATTAGGAAGCCCCGGGGGACGCGGAGAGGCCGGCTAACAAACCCTTGTCGTGGCTTTGATCATTGCCTTCCCTATGCCCGACGGCGGGCCTCCAGCCCCCAGTCCCACACCGAGCCGCTTGTCCTAGTGAGTTCGCTCTGCTGCGACGCCGGGAGCGGGAATGGGGCGAACTCCGGCCTAGACAGGCTTGCCCAGCTTTTTATCTGTTTGCCTGGAACGACTGGGACCACAAAATGAGAGACCCTGCCCAGAGTGTGGAGGAGGCCCGCTGCCTGCTTTAGGGGTGTGTGTGTGTAAATGCTCGTAGCACCCCGGCCAGGACTCAAAGTCAGCCGCAGGCGCCAGGACTAGAATGGCTCCCCCCACGCCAGCCCCGCCCCAGGCTTAGTGCTCGGGACTGTATGAGGGAACAATTAAAGAGTACAGTTCTGGGGCTGCTCCCACTCCTCTCCAGGGTCGGATCTCCTATCTGGGTATCTTCACTTCTGCCCTAGTGCAGTGACAAAGGTGTAAGACAAGCAGCTAAAACACATCTAGACCTGGCCTCCAACTCTCTCTAATGCTTGAACCTTAGTAGAGTTGAAAACGTTCTTGGTGGTGTTTGAATGTAAGTTGGGGAGAGCTGGGAAGAGAAAAGGAAAGAAAAAGGTGAAATCCAGGAGGAAATTGCCTCAGGCGCCTTGATCAGGCCTTGGCTAATTAGGGAGTGGTTTGCAGATTTCTCTCCAGCTCATCAATTTGCTTTAAAAACGGTCGTGGTTTGTCTGATTCTCACAAAAGGGTCTGGACTGGTCCTTCTCATTTTCTGCCTGCTGAGCTGGGACAAACTCAGACAGCTGGGCTTGGCTGGAAACTGGGTGCTGCTATGTCCAGTGGGGATGCCCAATGCCTGGGCACTCCTTATTCCATCTTAGTTGTGGTTGGATTTTTTAAATCAAATTTAAACAGTTCAAAAATGGTCTGCTCCGGTTCGCTCACTGGCTGAGTGTGGTGCTGACAACACCAAGACAAGGGTTAAGATCCCCTTACTGGTCATCTTTTAAAAAAATAAATAAATAAATAAATAAAAAGGTCTGCTGAGGCCTACAAAGGCACTTTCCGAAGCTTGAGGATAATACCACTTCTTTCTGCACTGAACCTGTGGCTGGCCAGCTCTGGGCACAAGGAGAACCTGGGAGATCACAAAGTTCACACATATGAAAAGTCCATATAACGAATTACCTCAGGTCCAGGTGGGGGAAACACAAACACACCCACAAATCCAAACAAGGCCACAACACCAATTTGCTGCCAACAGCCTGCCAGCCGCCCACCAGCTACCCTGCAGGGGAGTTTGCCCACCGATGCTCCCTCTTGAAACTGAACTTGGACTTCCTAGTTGGACTATTTAGGAGAAGCACTATGCCTACAGAGACCAAGGTTTCATAATTAACTTCATATTCTAGTATTGCTAGCAATTACTCTGGATCAACCAGAGTCACCCACGTTAACTTTTCTTCAAAGTCATGTTTTCTTTCACCTTCTAAATAGAGCAGTTGAAAGTGTCACTCCCCCTTTTAAGTTTGTTTTGGTTACTTGCTGTTGCATACAGTTGGCAAATTGGATGTTGGGGGGGAGGATTTTTTTTTTTTAATTCTTTTTTTTAAAGAAGACTGGTAAGGGGATCTAAACCCTTGACTTGGTGTTGTCAGCACCATGCTCTCCCAAGTGAGCTAACCGGCCATCCCTATATAGGGACCCGAACCCGTGGCCTTGGTGTTATCAGCACCACACTCTCCCAAGTGAGCCATGGGCCAGCCCCCTTTTTAAAGAAAAAATATCTGCAGCAGTATTGCAAAGGGCACCTCAGGTGATGCCTTAGTATTCAAAAGTCTCCAAAGTACTGCTTAAAAGTCAAATACAAACCCAGTATTTTCCCTCACAAGGGGTCCTTCTGTGCTTGCCCCACTAAGTTGGGGGGGTGGGCTAAGAGGTGAGGAGAGCAACCCCAGGTTTTCTGAGAAGCAAGGAACAAGATAACAAGCAAAAGCCTTTTCTCAAGGGAGATCTGGAGTTAGTCACAGAGGCCCAGAAGATGGCCGTCCCTGGGAGCTGCACTTCTTTTCCTTTTCCCACCTTCAGCTGATGTCGAAAGGGCACTCCATTTGTATTGCTCCTTTGATTTAGTTGGAAGCTGGTAAAACAGGGACTTTCAGTGACAATCTTTGCTTCCTACAGAAATACAGGAAAACAAACTTGTTTCAGAGAGAGGTTAAAAAGCCCACAAAGGCCCCTTAGATTTGCCAACCCAGAGATCTGCTCAGGGACCCCAGCAAACCTAGCACAAATCTGTAGTGAGTGTGAAGGAAGAAGCTAATTCTCCGGCTAGCAGCCAGCCATTCTAGTCCAAGCCAGAGATTTTAAATGAGTTGCAAAGTAATGATTGTTGCTTGGCTCTACGCCTCCAGCAAATATACCTACCACCCTGTATCAGTTTATTTTTGCTCCACCCCTTAAAATGAAAGCACACACGATGGCAAATTAGACAGCCGATTTCCTCTGTTGCAAATAAAACCGCTTACCCTCAAACCAAGCTTTCCCTCCTCCTCCCTCTCTGCCATCTGACTCTTGCCTAGGCAGCCCTTCCCCAGGAGTGTGCTGAATCCCACCTCCCCTCTTTAAACAGGCGGCTTGTAAGTAGTTTGTTTTGTTATATTTTTAACTTTCTAAAAATATTTGGAAAAGCTCTCCCCAGGGCTAGGGAAACTTTAGTTCTTATTAAGCCATGTGGTTATAAATATATACTGGAAGAGAGCTGCTTGGTTTTTGAAAAAGCCAGACATGGCTTGAAGTCAACATGCTTGGAGAGAAACCGACTTTTCACCACTGGTGGGCATGGTCAGGGGCAGGGCCAAACCTCAGAGGGAACTGAGGTTTCCGCTGCAGCTCTGAATCCTCGGTGAGGGCAAGCTGGCTTGCCCTGCGCCCTGGCTGTTGATTACAGAGAGGTGTAGGCAGATGGGTTAGTGGGGATTTCTCCAGGGTTTACCACATGGACCCTGGGACAGTGTCCCCAGTCTCCTTGAGTCTCCCTCTATGTCTTTGTCCAGTCCCATTTTCTTGGCCATCTGCAGCCTTCTTCTCTATCACTTGTGTCTTTTCTTAGACTTAGGGCCTCTCTTCGGGACCCAGTGCCCAGTGCCCCTCCCTCCTTACCTCTGGCAGGCTGAACACTCCCAGGGATGGGTGGGGATAAGTATGTAGGATTGGAGGGGTGTGCTTTCAGAGAAAGGGAGGTGTCACTGGCTTCTTGCATTGGAAAACCAGGTCAGCTGTCTCTGGGAGATGAGATGACCCAGAAGGGACTTTTCCTCTCCTACTTCCGGCTGATTTTTTTTTTTTTTAATATGACCATTACGGGGATCTAAACCCTTGACTTGGTGTTGTCAGCACCACGCTCTCCCGAGTGAGCTAACCGGCCATCCCTATATAGGATCCGAACCCGTGGCCTTGGTGTTATCAGCACCGCACTCTCCCGAGTGAGCCACAGGCCGGCCTCCCTGGCTGAATTTTGAAGGTCTTTGTCAGTCCGAGTGTTTCTGTGTTATCGTCTCGGTCGACCTCACATTCTTAGTTTCTCTCCTGTCTACCTGTCCTCATCTTCCCCCCCCCGGGACATCCTTTCCCAGTTCTCCTTCCTAGCACCACAGACAGCTCCCAGGGCGCGCGACTGATCGAGGTGCCCGGACTGGCGGGTTCCAGGCGAAGCCTAAGCAACCGCAGGGGGCGCGCTGGGAAAGGGTCGGCGGCGCCCGCGAGGCTGGTCCGCGACGTGAATACAAAGCGCCCTCCCCGGCACCGTTTCCTGATCAGCTCTAAGTCCAAACAGGGCCACATTCCAAAGGACGAAACCTTCAGATCAATAAAGTAATTCAAAACCCAGAAGATGTAGGGGTAAGTAGTGCTCAGTGACAGATCAACTGTAAACCGTCCCTACTGAAT